GATGTGTGTTAGTTATTGTGGGGTAGTGCCCACTCTGAACAACACCTCATTACCTTAAAGCTGGATTAATAAGGGCAATTGCAAAAAACAAGTTGTTTTTTGGCCACAAAAGCAAGCAGTTCCACCAAGAAAAGTACTGCCCTGTCCCCCTGAATTATCTTTAAGATAATTCATTAGATATCTGGAGGACAACCTTGTTTTCTTGAGGGAAAACCTCTAACAGCTGCCATTGCTCAGAAAGCACCATCTGATAATACTTTTTCTATTCAGAATACTTTTCACCTAAAACCTTCAGAGCTGAGAATGTCCTTTCAAGATTGTCATTTACAGGAAGAGACACAGAACAGAGAGAGCTCTAGGAAGGAGAAGAAAAAATGAAGATGCAAAAGGATGTTATGGGACCAAAAAAAAAAATAAAATAAAAATTGCCAAGTGCAACTTGGTTATTCACTGATAGCTAATTTAGAGCATAATCATCTACTCCAACGTGAAGAGCAAACACATTAGCACTGAAAAACATCACCTACTGGAATAAATACAGGTATTTATAACAGTATTAAGAGAATCTATTAAGAGATTTCTGAGTTTTATACCTGGAAAACTCCACTTATCTACTGTTAAAACAAATTTGTGAAGTGCAGACTCCTTCGTGCCTGTAGCCCTAAGAATTACACAACTGTGAATAATCACACTCAGAACAGAACAAAAATGGGTAATTATTATCTCCATATTGTGTTATTTTACAAATTAGTATATCCTGCATCTCTTTGGAAGGAAAATGAGGGGAAAAAAATATATTTTTGTGCTGTTTTTGTAGACCCAGCAGACAATAAACGGATCCCTCATGAGAACACAGCAATGCAAAGTGTTGCCTTGGGCCAACAGAAGAAAAAAGAAAAAAAAGGGGAAAAAAAAAGAAGAAGGAAAAGGACAAAATGAGCAGGGAAAGCATGAAATTCAATGGAGAAAGTGATTTAATTGCACGGAAAAAGAAAGGAATATTAATACAGGGAAAACGCTCCTGTGTGAAATTAAGGGTGTATAACAGATAACAGAAAATACTTTTTTTTTTTATTAAAAAAAAAAAAAAAAGAGCCACGGTAATGTCAATTTAATTGAAAATGCTGCTAAATCTCCCTGTATTACATTAGTGTGCATGTTAAGATTGGTGTGTCCATAAAGGCACTCCAAGAGGAGCACACAATGCCATGCTAATAGGGTTAGGTGCTCAGAATATAAGGTAACATAAGTGCCATTTGATGCAAGAGTTGCTAGGGAAGGCTATTTTTTTTTTTTTTTTCCCCCTTGCCTGTTAATTAAGTGAATTTAGTGCTTTTGAAAGGTGCCAGATTGACAATCCCGGGGACTGAAGTTCTCTATTCATGGAGCCCAGGCGAAGCTTCCTGAGGCTGCCCCTCAACCTTGACCTGCAGGGCTCACCTCCAGCGATGAGCCGGGCTGGGGCTCGCTCCCAGCCGCTCATTCTGCGCCTCTCCGGGGAGGCTGCTCAGAAAGGTGCTAATTAGGGCCGATTGGCAGCCGGGGTTTTGTGCCCGAACACCTGGCCATTAGAACCGGGAACACCCGCTTTTCTCCCGGCCCCTAACGAGGGAGGGCATTTTCCAGCGCTGCTGACCCGGGGCTGAGGGAATAGGGACAGCAAAGGCAGCTCAAGGATTGCACCGGCTCTCACCCAAGTTTTATATATATAAATATATAGAGATTTTTTTTAAAAAAAAAATAATAAAATATGATATCCATCCAGCTGCCTTGATGACTCCTTTCCCAGAACTCTCCTTCTTGACTTCTGCTTTTGAAATGGGAATTCTTTCATGGCTGTTGTTCCATTTTAAGAGAATGTGGAAGACTCAGGGCAAAAGCAGAGAAAGGCAATAAGTATTCCAGCTCGTGCTGCCTGATATAAACCTGGAGAATGGCAGTGTTGGCACAGCCCCCACTTCCCTCTGCCATGGAGAAAGGGTGTCCGTGTCCATTGGAGAAAAGGAGCAGTGGGAAGGGTCTGCTGTTGAATAAAACATTCCAAAGGACCAAAGCTGACTTCTGCTTGCTTTATGGCTTGTTCCAGGGCAGAGCTTACAATACTGGTTTTGCCAGAACCACTCACAGCTCCTAAGTTTTTGGATGACTGGATGCACATAATGACATGTCAGATAATTTCTTTTAATTCTACTTTGGTGCAGTTTCTATTCCCTAGTGATGATAACCATTATCAGTTTAAAAGCAAAAATTCCCTGAAACCCTGAGCCTTTTGTAATTTCTTGCCTTTACTTGATTTAGCAGAGACAAGTCAAATAAAATTCCCCCTTTAAATAAGGGAAGAGCTGAGTTGATGAACCTACACTAATATAGCACAGTTCACTTTGAAATAAAAGATTCTTTAAATGTGTATGTTTTAGGTTGTTTTTTGTTTTGGTTTTTTTTTTTTAATCAGAAAGGACTGACTCCAAAGGGCTGACTCCAAGCCTTTATTCTTTTTCACCTCTGTAAAGGTGCAATAGAGATACAGCAGCTCAGTGTTCTTGACATCAGCAAACAGGCTGAAAAAACATTATCAGGAGAGAGCCAATCTCCTATAACAGTTGAATAGTACTCGCCCTGGTGATAAAGGTTTGGGTGAAAGATGAAATGAAAAATGTGTCTACAGCTGCCTGCAGCAAAACCTGCTTTTCTGGAGCACTTTTGCCCCCTGTCTTGAGTGTTCTGTTGAATGAATAGTGGGTGCTTTATGTCACTTCATTGCTGAATGGAGCAGTCTACTTAGCATGAACTTTTTGATGGCCCTACCTTCTGAAATGGTGTGCAGAGGTTTTGTGGATTATGCATTAGTCCCCTTTAACTTTCCACTTGAAGATAACACGGGCAGCAGCAGGTCTAATAAAGACTGAGCAGAGAGAGGCAAGGCAGCACCAAAACCCTGAAATTTTTGCTCACAGAAATAATTTCAAGCTTAGAGTGCCTCACCTAAGTGTGATATATGGCATCACATCTGGGGCAGATGTTTGGTGATATTTCTTCAATTTTTCTCAACTCTCCTTTGAACACTGGGAAATTTTCCCTTGGTTACTCCCCAGTGTTTTCAATCTGCAACAGCTCCTGTACTTAAACATTCAAATAGTGAAAATCTTGCACTAGGTCCACTTGCTCTCTTAGCAGAGGTTTTAAAAGATGCCTGTGAGTTGAGAATCCCGTTAAAACTGTGATAGCCACATAAAAATTTCTTTAAAATATGCCCAGCCTGCTCAGAATGCCACAAGGGTAAGTATTAACTCTTGTTTCTCTTCAATCTTTTGCACTGAGGTCACACTGGGGCATCATCCCAGGTTTTTGTTTATTTTCACTGAGCAAATTTTGAAATATTTAAATTTAAAAAACTAAACAAACAAAAATCCAAACCAAACAAAAAAATCCCAACAAATGGTGGGACAGAATGCCAAGAAAACTTGAAACTCAGGATTTGAATACTGAAATAAAATATTCATCTTCCTGTTGCACAAAAACAGTCCAACTTTTATCACTGGTGCTCATCCTAGGAATCATCTCATGGTATTTGCCCCCATAATGTCCAAGGTATCTTATGGACATTTCTGGATCATTGGTTAAATTTTAGGATAAACTGACACAGAATTTTTAGGATGGTGCTGGGAAATAATGAAGTGTTCATCAGAGTAAATGATCTTCCAACAAAGAGCTGAAGTAGCCTGGTGACAATTAAGAGCCACAGTGAAAATTAAGAGAGGCATTAAAGGATATCAATCCCATGAATACTGACACGGATATTTCTGCTGTCAGCTGACAAAAACAAAGTAATTAATTGTTCTAGTAAATAAGGTGATGAAGAGACACACACACAGAGCCTGGAATGAAAAAAGCAACACATGCAGGACATGTCCTCTCTTTAAAGAGTCATTCTCAATGCTAAAGCTGATTTGATGGGGACAAAAGGAATAGCACAGATGAATCAAGGTCAGAAAGGTGAGTAAAAATAAGACAGTTATTATGTCTTTTCTGAAAGCAGAAGCAGATTAGAAAATAGGTCAGGGAGTGCAGGGAAAACGTTATTTGTATTCTGTCAATTTGCAAAGGACATTCAAAACTGAATGCAATGAATTTGTAGTAACCTCTTATTCTAGTCCTGGGGAGTGATGTATTCCATATTATTTCCTTTTATTACTAGTACTACATTATATTTTAAAAAATATTTTCCTGCCAAAATCAAAATCCTATGGTGGTGAATGCTGCACAACCAAGCAGTAGGAGAAAGTTTCTGCTGTGAGGACTGTGGGACACAAACAAAAAGTAGGAACACTGGCAGGAGGAGGGGATGGGATTTGTCAGGAGCCATGTGGCAAGGCAGGAAATAAAGCTTTTCTCCATTTCCCAAAGCGGTGCCATACCCAGGAAAGACACAGGCACTTAGCAGAGCCACTAAATATTGCTCCCCCAATGTGTCAAAGTGGTTGTCTGATAACAGACATTTCTTTAGTTGTTTGGAAATTTGTAATTCAGAGTTTTATCCACTACCTGCTGTCTTGGGTTTAGCCTGAATTCCTCAAGAAATAAATCTAAAGTGTACTGAGGGAGCTGTTTAGTCTAGAGAAGACTGAGAAAGGATGTCATTAATTCACATAAATATCTCCAAGGAGTGTCAGGGGATGGTGCCAGACTCTTTTCAGTGGTGCCCAGCAACAGAACGAGGTGTAAGTTTATAAATAAAACACAAGAAGCTCCACCTCAGCACGAGGATGAGCTTTCCATGGAGAGTGCCAGAGCACTGGAACAGCTGCCCAGGGAGCTGTGGCATCTCTGGATTCATCCAAATCCCACCTGGATGTGTCCCTGTGTCACCTGCTTTGGGTGACCCTGCCCTGGTGGGGGGGATGGGGCCAGTCTGGACCATCTCCAGGGGTTCCTTCCAAGCCCAGCTGTTCTGGGATTCTGTGCTGCCTGGGGAGGTGGAGAGGGACAGGGAAAAGCGCTCAGTTCACTCTCGACTCCCAGAGCTCAGACAAATCTCACACAGGGGCAGAATTCTCAGATGTTCTGTTTTTTCAGACTTTCATTGATGAGGACAACTCACGTAAAAAGCCCACACCATCTTCCTCTCTAAGAGCCCAGGCATCACTTCCATCTCCCACCATCACTTCCATCTTTTACAGACAGCCAGGATTTCCCACCTTTCACACTGGAAATGTCAATAGACTTTCTACCTCTATAGGAACTCTTTACTCATAATAATTATTGCAACCTGTGCACAGAAACAGCTGATTTGCAGCTCATAAATAAGCCTTAAATGCATATCTCCATTTAATTCAAGAGGAGGTGGTTGGGGCAAATCCTAAAATCACTGCTGCCTTTCCACACTGTTCATTGAGGGATGTGCTCCCAGAGCGCTGCTGGCTCTGCCTTGCTTCTAAAAACATTTCTGCAAAAATGGATGGACAGACAAACCCAAAATCTGTTGTTAGCAACTGGGTAGTGAAGCAAAGCTCTCAAAATTATACCCATAAATGTATTTTTAGTGCAAAAACACCTCTTATATAAAAAGGCTTGATTTAAAAAAAAAAAACCAAACAAAACCTGCTAATTTTAATTGTTTTAAATTGACCCTACAATATATTTTCCTTAAAATGAAGTAATATATTTTAGGTAAACATATAAAAAAAAGAAAAAAAAATGTGTTTCAAGTAATAATTTTTTTTTAAAAAAAATCATAGTAAGTATATTTTAACTTGATTTGAATACCTCTGTGTTGGCTATAGAAAGTAAGGATTTCCACAGTAAGAGATATTATCACAATCTGATTTTGAAAACAATGTGAGGTTGCCTTAAGATTGTATTTTTCTTCGATTATATGAGGAAAAGATAAATGCAACTAATTTTTTACATACACACAAAAATGCACTAAAAGCCATAGGAATTGTATTGTTTTGCTTTCAAAGACATTTAAAATTAGTTTTGCATTCAAGAGCTTATTGCCTTTCCCACAGACTTCCTCCAAATTCCTGCAGCATGTAAGGGAAATGCTCCCTAGAATGCAGATTTCCTGGTGGATGTGTGGATTATTTTTCCTTAATCTCAAGTATCAATGACTGGAATCTTATCCTAAATAAGGAGCTGACATGTGTAACTAATTTTCAAAAGAACTTTCTTTAAGCTTATTACCAAAGCAACTGCTTTCATTCTTAAGATTTGGGCAATGTAAGTAAAGGTAATTCTTTTACCACCCCACATAAAATGCTTTATTATGCTGTGTACTAGCCAAAAAAAAATAGTAAATTCTGATATATTCACAAAAATTACTTCACTGTTGTATCACTTTATTTCTAGTCAGTATTTATTGTGGAATAATGCAGGAAAAAGTTTTCAGTGTGTTGCATTTGCCATTAGACATATTCAAATGAACTGTTTCTATCCTTAAAATATTCAGCCACTGACTAAGATGCAATAAAACATTAATATAGTTAAAAACCTAAATTCTTGAGTTTTGGCTGTGTAGATTTTTTGTGGTTTAATTTTTATTGCTATCTTTGGTTTTTAACCTCTTCATGTGAGTTTTCAAAAGAGAGAATCAAAGCAGAAAGGAACAGATCAAGACTGGAGCAGAATGAGAGCAGGGGCACAGCGTTTAGAATTTAACAAGCCCAGTGATAAAAAACTTCTGATCATACAATGATTTGTTTCCATGGGAGATACAGCTCTCAGGATCATTTTTTAACACCATAATTTATAATACTTCACATAGTTTTGAAATTATTTTTTTTCTCCTCTCAATACCTGTTGGTGTTTAATTTTCACAGGATTTTTTTATTGAGCTGAGCCACTACAATGACACTTTAGGAACTTTAAGGTGGCTTTCTGTGCACTGCTTTGCCCATAAATGCTGCAGAGAAATGGAAATAGGAAGTCCTCTAAAATACACACTGCTCCTGCACAATGAAGTTATTAAAACTGTAGATACACAGCCTGCAGGTTAAGCTGCTCTATAATAAGAGGAGCTGTATTCAGCAGTTACAAAGGCACAGAATAATTTCTTTCAGAAGCAAAGACATTCCTGGGTGGAAATGAGCGCAGGAAAATTCTCTGCTATTAATTATTTTACTATTTGTTCATTGGGCCAAAATGGATGGAATTATGTATAAACATTCTTAATTTGACTTTTCCTCTCAGCCACTTGGCAGTAGTTCTGGCTGCTTCTGGAAGGAGCCAGGTTAAAGCTTGAGGGTTACACAACAATTTAGGAAAAAAGTAGGAGATAATTTACCTTCTGCCCTTCCTTCTTTCCTTTCCTTCCTCCCTCCTTGTCTCTTTCCCTGAAACAGTTAAATTAGAGTTGTTTACAATATCAGACCAAAATATGAAAATATTCATAGTGAGTCGAACTTCTGGAATCTTAATTAATCATGTGCATTGTTTATGAAAGTTCTGTAAATGTTTCTTGCAGGGACAGCCAGTGAAATTATCACTGCCATTTAGAAGGTTTTCGAGATACTTTAACTTTTGCTTTAGAGAAGGAAGCAGCTGAAACCTCTGGATGTAGGAATCCACATGACCAGAAAAAACCTGAGGATTTTACCCACTGTGCTCACTCAAGGCTGAGGGATGGTAGACAGGAATTTACCTGAAAACTCACACCAGTCAGGGAGCTCCCCTTTCTGGTTGTTTCTTTGCAGGAACAGGACATGGAATTACTGAAAAGTAGTAAAATGCCGTGAGACTCGCTGGGCAAGCAGCTGAGCAGTAACAAACAGGACCTGCATCAGTAGCTGTATTGTAGACTATTTTCTCAACCTAAATATATTTATGCAAGCATGCTCAAGGCTGAACCCTCTCTTTTGTTGCTGGGCCACAGATCAGTCTGCTCCTGATTTAAAATGCATGGCTAAGTTTAAAACTTTAGTAAGGGCCAATCTCTGAATAATCCTTTAAGGATTATTGTAATTAAGGGACTAATCCTTAGATGCTTCTTAATTTGTGTCCGTTTTAAAATCGAGTGCCACTTCTTTCATCACAAAAGAGAGAAGAAGAGCTGAAAATGACAAAGGTTTAAATATTAACAGCCTTTCCTGTCACCTCATGCATCTGAGCAACCCAAACAGGTAGAATATTTAAAACCAGGAGGTCATTAAAACCAAACCCGAGCACAGAACCCCAGCCCACAAAAAAACACGACTGAAAACCAAGAGGGATTTTAAACCTGGGGATGTGTTGATGGTGACAAATATTCTGTGCACAGATAAGGCAAACAGAGTTTAAGGACAGACATTTCAACTTGTGAACGCTCTTTGCATGAGCCCTCAAATGCTTGTTTGCATCAACCCTCCCCTTCTCCCCAGTAGAAGCCTGTTTGAAGAATACATCAGTGGCAGCAGTTTTTCTAATCACCCCAGCACTTATATTTATTGTTTATTATGGAAAGAGTGAATTGGGCAACCCAAGTTGGAAAATTTAGCAGAGAGGGAGATGTTAAAATAATCAAATTCTTGATACACATGAAGGAAGTTTCATGGTATAATCTAAGGAATGTTGAGGCTGAAGAACCAGGAAAAGGAAGCAAAGGGGTTGCTGGGCTAAAACACCTGCCAGCAGTGCACTGGCTGTACCTGGGATCAGCTGCCATTGCTTAAAGGTGCTCATGATCTCCGCAGTGTAAAAAAGGAGGCAGGAAAACCACGCAGTGCTACAAGGCTTGGGAACAGCCTCTCTTCCCAATTCCAGTCTAGATCTGGGCAAGACACAGACCTGGATGCCTCTGTTCCTGCATCTGTAAAACAAGAATGTTTATAAATATTTACAAAGGAACAAAAAACAAGCCCACCCTAGGGATTGCTATTACGAGCAGAAAGAGAGGTGAGAAACAAGCAGCTGATGCATCTCGTGCTGTGTTACATTTGTGTGGACATGCAGCACTGGAAACTGTGTGAGTTGGAACAGGAGTGAGAAATCATTAGGGGATGTGGGAAAAGGCTCACTCTTGTTTATACCCCTTGGAAATAGCATATCTTATTTTTATTTCTCCCTGAAACATGTAAGTATTACAAGATTCCATGCTGGATGTTTTGGCAAGCCTGCAAGGGCAGGTGTTCAACATTCTACGAGCTCCATAAGGATGATTGCTCCATGATACACATTTATCTTTAATATAGTTTACAGAATTGGGGTTTTTGTTGTTGTTGTTATTTTTTGTGGGGTTTTTTCCCTTTTCTCTGTGACGGATTACATTGTGCTTTATGGAAATGTAACATTTTGTATGAATGGCTGGCAGCAGCCATGTTGCATAGCAATGAGCAAGACAAAGTAGCTCCACTCTTATTTGCAACTGGCTCAGACCTTTCCATTAGCAAATTAAAATCTGTTCAAATTTATTTACTAATATATTAGGAGAAGCTTCAGGCTAACCCCTGTTGACCTGTATTATATAGCAAACAACTGTAGCAGTGAAAATAATTAATAGAATGCATTGCACCTCCTGCTTGTTTCTCCATCACAGCCCGGGGTCGGCTGCAAAGTGGGTTTGCCATCTGCATTCTGTTACAAGGCCACATTTACTTAAAAATTATCAATTATATTCTGAAATTACTTCTTTTAATTGAACTCTCTCTATTCAAGGCTTCCCCTGTTTTAAAAGCTTCTGAAAGCACGTACATAAAAATGTTTTCCTTTTCAAAACTTAAGGGGAACTTGCTGAATTACCTGTGGATGCAAAAGGAGCAAATATGCAAGAACAATTCCTTGTTACATCAGTTATTCATTATTATTATTATTATTATTATTATTCCACACTTGTGTCATTCAGGTGGAAAGTATTGCAAGACATTTTTTTGTTTTGTTTTTGCTATTATAATGTTTTCCAGAGAAGCTGTAGCTGCCCCATCCCTGGAATTGTCCAAGGCTGGGTCAAATGGGGCTTGGAGCAACCTGTGATAGTGGAAGGTGGAACTGGATGAGCTTTAATGTCCCTTCCGAAACCATTCTCTGATTCTGTGGAAGAGAAAGAAACACAACTGGTGTTCATTAAAAAGCTTGGAGTGTTACCGTCATTCAGCCTCTTCATCCTGAAGAACAGCTAATTCTGAGGTCTTCATCTAATGGTTAAAGGAGAAAGCGATTATGAGACATAGAATGATAAAAAAAGGAGTTGTGGGGAAAAAAATGCATTTTCCAGCTGCACAGACTGAAGTTTAGGTGCCAATAAAGTAAATGCTGGGGGTGTGTAGATGCTTCCTTTCTATCAACTCAAACAGTACAATAAAAGTTGTCAGAGAGTGATCAGCTGGCAAGTCTTAACCCTACACAACAAGCTTTAAGAAGAAAGTCAGTGTGCCACTTTAACATCTCAGTGAAATATTTTTTTTATATGTATATAGATATAGAAATAAATTTGCACATTAATGGCCATGGTGACAAATTTCACACAGTGAATGTAGGCCTATTTCATTATTATACAAACAAAACCAATCATGATCTCTGGAAAACATACATTTCTAGACAATTTACTTATTTTTTGATAACTTCCTTTCTGTATAAAGGCAAACAAATTAATTAATGAGCGCCAGATCATCACCCTTCAAATGTCTTTAGAAAAAGAGATTGTTAGCAATCTTATGTTTATTTCTATAAACAATAGAAGATCTCTGAAATAATTAGATAATCTAGTCTGATTAGGTGTTTAATATATAGAAAGAAGGGGTATCAGTCATTACAGGTCGCTGTTGACCTCTTGTGGTCCCATTCTGTGGTTACAAGAAAACTCTAAGGCCAGCCAGGAGTTGGATATCGATGCTCCTTGTGGGTTCCTTCCAACTCAGGATATTCTATGATTCTGTAATTCCTTGATAGCCAGAAAATACCTGGAATTTTCCCTTTAATCTTAAAAAGAAAAAACCCAGTATTATTTCTGCAGCATAAGACTGGAATATTAATCAAAATTTTTAACAATTGCGTTTAAATTCATTCAATATTAAAAAAAAAAAAGAAATAGAAAAGGACTCTCACTGCAGTAGCCAGCTCTTTCTTTTCCAAAATGGAAAAGAACAGAAATTACAAGAAAAAAAAAAATCGAAAAGGATACAATACAACACTATGTTCTTCCTCTCTATTAAGCATTCAGCTAACCAAGAAGTAACAATTAGCAGCAGGAGAAAAGGCAATCAGTGATGAGCTGTGTAATTACTGGTCTCATCTGGAGAGCAGTGAATCCAACGGGGATCAGTCCACTGCTTCCAGCAGTTTGACTGGAGTTCTGCTGGGTCAACTTATTTACACGGCAGTCTTACCCTAGCAGGCAGGCAAACACAGGCAATTAATTATTTCCTTATCACTGGTATTAATATTGTGTTTGAATGTGTTAATCTCTTCAAACAAAGCTTGTGAGAGACAGTGTTTTGTTTTGGAGGGGAAACAGGGCGGGGAGGAAGATGAGAAACAAAATAATGAAGATCCAGATTACTTCCAGCACTGATAAATCAGCATTTAGGCCCCTCCATGGGAAAGAAGCTGTTCTAAGCAATCATTCCCTCTGGAAGCTCTACAAGCTCTTAACTTTCTGTGCTAGTGAAAGATTATCTGATAAAAATTCTATCTCTATATTCAAGTGAAAAAAAACTTGTTTAGAAACTCCTGCTGGCATATTGTCTGTTTTCTCACAAAGAAAACCAAACACAAACATGTTAATAAACAGTTGAAAGAAAGCAGCATAGTTCTAATTGTTACTAAAAAATATAAACACAGCAGAAGCCCCCTCCATCTCAATAACAGCAATTGGAATATTACGGAAAAAGCAAAAGTCTGTTGAGCTACACATATTTAATAAGAAGATTTAAATTTGCACTTTTATCCTAAGCAGGAATAAGGACAACAGTAGGTGATCCTATGGGGTTTTTCTTCTCTGCAATTTCATGTTCCTGCTACCTGTAAAGATAAAGCAATCCAACATATCCCAACATATCCCAACATGAAAACACAGGCATTGCTCTAAAAGCAAATGAATATTCTATACAATTGCTAAGCAAAAATAATTAATTAAAAATCAATAGATGCTGTTGTGTCTGGTATCCCTGTTTTACCTCCTGGCAGCCACACAGTGCCTGGCTCAACCACTGTGACCTCTCTGCGGTTCCAGGCTGCAAAACAGTGCCCAGCTGGTTTTCCCTGGCTGCGAGGGTGAATGGGCAAACAAGAACCCTCTCCTAAGGAAATGAACATAATCCTAAACTGATTTAAAGAAACGGAATTCTGGTAATTCACAGAAATGCCACGAGGTGGCAAGTTAGGACTGCATTAAGTGCCTTGTACTCTCACAACTGCAGCGAGGGAAAAATCAAACTGCAGTCGCTGGGATGGGAAAGGTGCCTTCATAAGAACCATTTATGCAATCTAATGTTCCTATCAAAAACAAAAGGAGTTTTGAATAACAACAATAATTTTGGAATTATTTCCTTTCTCTGTCTTTAAACTTAACAGGATTTTCTCACACACTTCTCCATGGGAAGGGTTGTCAAGCACTGGAACAGGCTTGGAGGTGGGTGGTGAAGTCTCCATCCCTGGAATTGTTCAAAAAACACATGGATATGGCAGTTAAGGACATGGCTTAGTGGTGAGCATGGGGACAGTGCTGTTGGTTGGTGATCCTCAAGGTCTTTTCCATCCTTAATGGAAAATGGATTCTATAATTCTGTTTTCCACAGTAGTTTCCATTTTGTTTTAAATAATAGCAAAAATAAAGAACCTCATATCACAGTTTTTTAACTGTGTAATTACAAAATATATATATATGACTGTTCACTTTCAGTGGAATGGACCCAAAACTACGTGATTCAACTGCAAGTTAATGTTTTTTCTTTCTTGAGTACCAAGCCATGGTAGTTATGGGAATATGTGCCAGGAAATGTTTAGCATCTGCATGCACACATTTGTATCTGAGAATCTCCACCTTACACCAGAATTGCTCAAGTGCCAAAAATCCCATGACTTTCTGAAAAATCCCCCTTTCTGACAAGGGGAATCTTTGTGCCTTTAATTGATGAAGGGAACCACAGGAGCATTCCCAGCTCCTCACTGGGAGCAGGACAGCTCGTTAGTGGTACACCACCACCAAGAGTTTATGGTTTATTGTTAAATGTGAATACGTCCTATTAACAGCATGAATTTACTTGAAAATTGTCTTCTTGAGAAAACAGAAGGGAACAAAACTGTTCTTCCAGTTCTGCCATGGAGATTCTTCGCTTGTTTTTTCTCCTGTTTTCCAGACAAGCGATGCTCTGAAGCAACTGGAGCAGGTGACCTTTGGGCCTAAGGAGTGACTGATGTCTCCCCCCCATTCCAAGTCTCTTCCAGCCCTGTCTCCCCCCAGTCCGTTTCCCCAGTCCCAGTTTCTTTCAGTCCCAGTTTCCCCAGTCCCAGTTTCCCTCAGTCCCAGTTTCCCCAATCCCAGTTTCCCCAATCCCAGTTTGCCCAGTCCCAGTTTGCCCCAATCCCAGTTTCCCCAGTCCCAGTTTCCCCCAGTCCGTTTCCCTCAGTCCAAGTTTCCCCAGTCCCAGTTTCCCTCAGTCCAAGTTTCCCCAGTCCCAGTTTCTCTCAGTCCCAGTTTCCCCAATCCCAGTTTCCCTCAGTCCCAGTTTCCCCAATCCCAGTTTCCCCAGTCCCGTTTCCCCCAGTCCCAGTTTCCCTCAGTCCCAGTTTCCCCAGTCCCAGTTTCCCCAGTCCCAGTTTCCCTCAGTCCCAGTTTCCCCAGTCCCAGTTTCCCCAATCCCAGTTTCCCCAACCCCAGTTTCCCCCAGTCCGTTTCCCCCAGTCCCAGTTTCCCCAATCCCAGTTTCCCTCAATCCCAGTTCCCCCAGTCCCAGTTCCCCCAGTCCCAGTTTCGCCGCTCCCGGGCTCTCCCCGCCTCAGGTTCCTCAGTCCCGGCCCGGCAGCGCCCCCTGGCGGCCCGCGCCC